ACCTGCCTCCAGAAGCGGTGAATGCTCCAACACTGGAGGTTTTTAAGAAGAGACTGGACAGCCATTTGTCCGAAATGGTATAGGGTTTCCTGCCTGAGCAGGGGGTTGGACTAGATGACCTCCAAGGTCCCTTCCAACTTTACTATTATTATTATTATTATTATTATTATTATTATTATTATTATTATTATTATTATTAATTATTATTATTATTATTATTATTACATTTATCTTCCTTTTTCCCTTCATTGTACTATTTATGGAATCCAGTGCTTTGTCTTCTTGCACACTGCGCAACTGCCATGGAGAAGTTTAAAAAAATAAAGATATTGAAGATAAAGAAGTGAACTAAAAAGCCTTAACTTATAAACAAACTCACTATTAAAAAATACTTTTCACTCTCATGATTGCTGCTGCGTCCCCATGGTCATGTGATCAAAATTCAGACGCTTGGCAACTGGCGCATATTTATGACGTTTGCAGTATCCCAGGGATACTGACATTCTGACATTCTGACAAGCAAAGTCAATGAGGGAAGTCAGATTAAATTTACAACCGTGTTACTAACTTAACAACTGTGGCAAGAAAGATCATAAAATGTGACAAAAGTCACTTAAGTCTTGCTTAGCAACAGAAATGTTGGCTCCATTGTGGTCATAAATCAAGGACTACCTGTACAGAAGGATATTCGGGGATATTTAGGTTTTCAGCATTGAATCTTCCTACTTAAATTTTGCATGTCTGTGAAAAACCAAAGGAATACTATTAGTGACTGCCTCTAGCTAAGATCTGTAATTGTCCATTTAAAAAAACAACAACACCAAGGTGAGCAACAGGCAGCTGAGCAGATAACCGGGTACCCTGTATCACTCACTCCCTCTGTTGGGTTGCCCAGGTGAGTCTTAGACAAACCGACTTGTAAGGTAAGATCCCTGATCAATTTTAAATTGTCAGTTAAGGTACATAAGGGAGAAGTTGAGACCCTTAGGTTGAGCTATGGCCTTTACACTTTTTCTTAATAATAATAATAGTAAAGTTGGAAGGGACCTTGGAGGTCATCTAGTCCAACCCCCTGCTCAGGCAGGAAACCCTAGACCATTTCGGACAAATGGCTGTCCAGTCTCTTCTTAAAAACTTCCAGTGTTGGAGCATTCACCACTTCTGGAGGCAGGTTGTTCCACTGGTTAATTGTTCTCACTGTCAGGAAGTTTCTCCTTAGTTCTAGGTTGCTTCTCTCCTTGATTAGTTTCCATCCGTTGCTCCTTGTCCTGCCTTCAGGCGCTTTGGAAAATAGCTTGACTCCCTCTTCTTTGGGGCAGCCCCTGAGATATTGGAACACTGCTATCATGTCCCCCCTCGTCCTTCTCTTTATTAAACTAGACATACCCAATTCCAGCAACCTTTCCTTATATGTTTTAACCTCCAGCCCCCTAATCATCTTTGTTGCTCTTCTCTGCACTCTTTCTAGAGTCTCAACATCTTTTTTACATTGTGGTGACCAAAACTGGATGCAGTATTCCAAGTGTGGCCTTACCAAGGCGTTGTAAAGTGGTATTAACACTTCACGTGATCTTGATTCTATCCCTCTGTTAATGGAGCCTAGCACTGTGTTGGCCTTTTTGGCAGCTGCAGCACACTGCTGGCTCATATTTAAATGATTGTCCACCAGGACTCTGAGGTCCCTCTCGCAGTTACTACTATTGGAAATGAAGAAAATTAATGAAGGGATATAACCACATTGATATTTGAAAGGGGGGAAATCCATAAAAAGTCCTCCCTATAATAATTACCAATATTTATTTATTTTTTTGGAGGGACATTTTGATACCTGCTGATAAGTATAAAGGGAAGTGATGAAAACAAAGCTCTGGGCACAAGAAATAAATGGCTACAGCAGATGATTTGAAGACTAGCTTGGAAGAGTTTTTTGCCTGGTAAACTTAAATTTTTGTAATGGGATTATCTTTCTTTTCTTTTTTTCTTTCTCCAGTTAGCTATTCCCTACCTCAGTTAGCTGTTCCTCTTCTCTTCTCCCCTCCCCTCTCCTCTTCCCCCTCCCTTCCTCTCCCTTTCCCTTCCCTTCCCCTTTACTCTTATTTCACCTCCATCATTTCCTTCATATTGGGGGTTGGTGCTGCTGAAATGAAGAAGATATGCGTGTGTGTGTGTGTGTTCTTTCACTTCTTTGTGTGAAATTGGGTTATGTATCAGAAAGAGATCGGTTGCCATATGCAGATAGAGAACAATTTTTGTAATTGGGACACCATTTTGCAAGAAATTAACTTTAATTGGCAGTAGTTAACTTAATTAGTATATATTTGTTCTTGGCCCTGCCCTTTTTGGGGGGGAATGTAGCTTCTGGCAGGTGCATGCATGCATGCATGCACGTACATGCAAATATGCGACATGCACCTATTTCAGGTGTGCGCGGATGATTAATTTCAGCTGAAACTGGCAGCTTTTTTTTTTTGTTCCATTTTATTTTAAGGAAGAGAACTGTACGTTCAGGTCCATCCTTTGTAAATATATGACTTGTGTGTGCGCCTGTAACTTGCCACAGTGTGAAGTGGTTGAGTCTCCAGTCCACTTTTGTCCCAATTAAACAGCTTGTGTCTTCAGGCAGGTACAGTATAGCAGGTCAGAAAGACACTGAACAGCAAAACTCTGCAAAGTTTCTTTTGTCGACTTGTGTTTTCCTGCAAGGTCCATTTTTTTAGAATAGCCACCACTAACTGACAGTTGCTGAGCCCAGCAAAAATGTGCTTAATCTATAAAATCACCGGAGCTCAGCTGGAACTTTCTTTTCAGCATTAGCTCTCTTGAGAAAACTCCTAGGCGTAGAATTGTTACAGAGTAAGGAGTGCACATCTGCATGAAAAAGGATTTCATATGGATATGTTTTCACACAGACCTTTCACTGTGGATTAAATTAATGCACAAACAGCTTCAGGTGCAATTACCATGCCTGGAAGGTTAAAACAACCAGCAGAGCTTATGAACTTCCAAACAGAGATGGATTCTACCGACAAATGATGGATGAATGGGTTAAGATGAACATCTGGGTCACAGGTGACCTAGGAAAACTACATCTACCTGGAAGTCTTTGTGTCAAGGAGGGAAAAAATCAAAGTGGGGTCCTTGGTGCTCTCTGAATTTGGTTGTTTTCTTGCAGACATTTCATTACCCAACTAGATAACATCTGAAATGTCTACAGGAAAACAATCAAACTCAGAGAGCACCAAGGACCCCGCAGTTCAGCCATGAGCTATAAATCTTCTCCTCTGTTATGAACTAAATTGTCTGAAATGCCACAGAGTCCCAGTCATTGTCAACAATATTGAACCAGATAGTGCCATGGCCTGGCCCTTAATAAATGATTATTATTTCATATGCAGTGGCATCATCAATCAAAATACAAACGTATACTTGGCATTTTATTTTTTTTAGCTTTTTTTGTCTTATAAAAACTGCCTCTTTAGATTGGCAATATGCACAGACAAGTTGCTCATTTCACTGAGATATTATGACAATCTTATAGTTGGTCAGATGTGAGTAGGAGTTTTTGGAAAGAAAGAAAGAAGGGGAGAAAGGCAAGAAGAACAGTCATAAAAAGAGAGCAATTGGCACACGAACAGAGTGAAAGGAAAAACATAAAATACTTTGCAAGAGTAAAAAATATACGTATAGAATAACATGAAAGGTAGGATTCTTGGTAGTGAAATATTAAGTCACCCACAGGAGCTTGTTTTCCTCTGTTGCCTCCAGTTCTCAGCATTCTGGAATTTTTATTCTCAATAGACTATCAGATTGAGGGAAACTGTTCCACCAAATCAAGAATTCTTGGATAACATGGAAGCTTATAAGTTTATTTATCAAATTTATATGTCTGCCCATCTCATAAGCACCTGAGAGGTGTAATAATTCTTTAAAGAAAGCCCTAGGTCCGTGGTGGCGAACCTATGGCACGGGTGCCAGAGGCGGCACTCAGAGCCCTCTCTGTGGGCACACGCACCGTCGCCCCAGTCCTAGGCCTTCAGCTGGGTTTTATAAAACCTTTTCGCTTTAGGCCTCCGCTGCCATGTACAAAAAAAAAAGGTTCAATCAATCAGTCAATTTCAACTTCTCGCGGGAAAAAAAAAAAGATCTCGCAAAGTTGGAATTGATTGGTTGAACTTTTTAGACCCACCCAGTCTGCCGTTACCACCGCAGCTACGCCCACCCAATGGGCCACACCCACCCAATGGGCCACGTCCACCCGGCACCCAACAATACATAAGTGGGTTTTGGGTTGCAGTTTGGACACTCGGTCTCTAAAAGGTTCGCCATCACTGCCCTAGGTTCAATCAGATATTTCTGGAACAGTTTTGAAAGTGTAATGGAGACCCAAATCTCACATTCATTGTTAGCATATTGAATAATTATTAATACATCTGAATGATTTGGAAGGATTTATACCTGAGAATGAATTTGAACTAGAGGTTTCAAGTCCAAATCTCCTTTTATTATAAATTGCCACAATAGTTAAGTTTTTAATATAGTTTTCCCCAACCTGGTGTCTTACAGATGTGTGGGGATCACAACTCCCAAAATTTCCAGTCACCGTGACCATGCTGGATTGAATTTGTACTTGCCCTCATATGACAAATGCATGCAGAGTTATAGTCAAATAGACATGGCGGACTGTAGGGTGGGGGGTCGCTTTGAGAAATAAGTTCTTTGAGCCCTGAAAGAGAAGTCTATAAAAAAGTTACATTTGTGGCCTTACCTGTCAAACAGTGGCTTCTCTCCACAATCAAAGGCATCCTGTAACTCTTTGACGAGGTTAGCCTGACCCGGCAATCGGAAAAGTCCTTCTTCCTTCAGCCCCCGCAGACGAATAAAATCTACACACTGTTCTACCAGCAACGGAGCCAAATGGTTTCCATATCGTTTCTCGTAACGAACGGTGTCTTCCAGCTTCTGCCCAAATATTCCTGTGTATGACAACAATAGCTGTAAATCCTCAAGGTGAACTGTTGACAGTAAATATGTCTTGCATTGCGCCATTTTACCTGGGCCTGGGAAATCTTAACGCTAAAACTACATTAACTGTAATAATGCCAGGTGCAAGAAGTCAGGAACCAGAATAGAGTTCAAAAGTACTACAAGTTTATTTCGCTACAAGGCGTAAGAAGAAAGGGCCAACGGAATGTACATAATTATATACATAAATATAAGAAATCTGGTAGACCACAACACGAAGCTGATCTGCCACCAATACGGGAAAACGTACTGTAGCTCAAGCTGCCTTCCCTTAAATGTTGCCATCTGTTGGGATCTCAGACACACCCATACACCCACAAAATACAAACACACACACAAAGAGGACGTTCAGAGGATGGTCATACTATTAGCCTTCTGGCGGGCTGTAAAAACTGACTCTTTGCCTAGCACAGTGGTGGTGAACCTATGGCACGGGTGCCAAAGGCGGCACTCAGAGCCCTCTCTGTGGGCACACGTGCCGTCGCCCCAGTCCTAGGCCTTCAGTTGGCTTTTACAAAACCTTTTCACTTTAGGCCTCCACCGCCGTGTGCAAAAAAAAAAAAGGTTCAATCAATCAGTCAATTTCAACTTCTTGCGGGAAAAAAAAATCTTGCAAAGTTGGAATTGATTGATTGAATTTTTTAGTCCCACCCAGTCTGCTGTTACCTCAGCCACGCCCAGCCAATGGGCCACACCCAGCCAATGGGCCACACCCACCCGGCACCCGACGATGCATAAGTGGGTTTTGGGTTGCAGTTTGGGCACTCAGTCTCTAAAAGGTTCGCCATCACTGGCCTAGCATTTGGTCTAGGGTAGAAGTGAGGCCCCCAAAATGTAGGAGTAAGTAGAGTTTATGGGAGGTTGAGGCCCTGTGATTGGGCTAGATGGTTGATTATGAGATTTCGTCACCTCAATTTACTCTGCTTTTATTGAATATTATTGTGAGCTAGCTAGGCTTATTCTGTAAAAGATAGATGGCCATATATATATAATATATATATAATAATAATATGTTTATAATTTTTTTTAAAGCTCAGTAGCACAGATTTCTTGAAGATTTTTTTTTCAAACTGACAGAAAATGTCATGCACTTTAATTATAAAGAGACATAAAAATAATTGAACAAAGAATAAATTTTAAACGGAGCACAATTTTTAATCAACATTTATCTATTTCTAAACAACAGAACCATGACAAACACAAATGCTACCCCATATACTCTCATCTCTCCTTCAAGCAGAAACAGCAAAAAGGAGAGAAAGAGAGAGAGAGAGAGAAAAAAAATGAAAGCAAGAAAGCAAGAGAGAACAAAGGAAAAGAAAGAAAGAAAGAAAGAAAGAAAGAAAGAAAGAAAGAAAGAAAGAAAGAAAGAAAGAAAGAAAGAAAGAAAGAAAGAAAGAACAGGACAGAAATGCTGTCATTATTATTTAATAGAGTTGAAATCTCCTCATCCTGTTGGGTAAAAAAACAGTATAATTCACCATTTAGAACTTTCTGTGTGATAAGGGAACATCAAGCCATTTTTCTAGATTGTTTGGAAGATGTTTCTCATCCTTAAAAACTGAAATGCTCTGAAAGTTGTATGCAAACAACATGGGGCAGCTAAAAGTATTTGCGAGCAAAGCTGAGCAAAGCAAACTTGAGCAAATTTCATGTCAAAACCTTAGCAAAGTTATCTTTGTCGTGCATTAGGAAATTGTTTCTTAAGGTGCTCTTGTCTAAACAGTTTTGAGATCTGAGACCCAGGAATGTCCACTTATAATCTTATTCCTCTGCAATCCAAGTGAATCTCCATTTGTGCCTAGTTCTGCTAGCTTCCCGTTGAAGGGCGTCCTTCTTTTTCCCATCATGTTTCTATTAGCAACCAACATGGCTTGCATTGTATTTTAGCTGCACTTTCTTTTATCTTTCTGGCAAAAGCTCAAGGACAAATCAGCTTCTGTTTTAAAAGGCACACACTTGTTTATTTATAATGTTTTAGCCACCTTAGTCATAATGACGACAGAGAAGAAGACCTATCTCAGTGATGGCGAACCTTTTAGAGACCGAGTGCCCAAACTGCAACCCAAAACCCACTTATGTATCATTGGGTGCCGGGTGGGTGTGGCCAACTGGGTGGGTGTGGCCAATTGGGTGGGGGTGACCCATTGGGTGGCCGTGTCTGCGGTGGTAACGGCAGACTGGGTGGGACTAAAAAGTTCAATCAATCAATTCCAACTTTGCAAGACCTTTTTTTTCCCTGCGAGAAGTTGAAATTGATTTTAGATTGAACCTTTTTTTTTTTTGCACACGGCGGCGGAGGCCTAAAGCGAAAAGGTTTTATAAAAGCCAGCTGAAGGCCTAGGACTGGAGTGACGATGCACGTGCCCACAGAGAGGGCTCTGAGTGCCACCTGTGGCACCCGTGCCATAGGTTCGCCACCACGGACCTATCTGTTTGGCTATACATTGTCATCCTCCAGACCCTTCATCCATGCTCATTCCATAAACTGTACAGGTCCATTGTTTGATGTTTCAAAACTGCAACGATGCTTGAATAATACGTTGGATATCATTACAGAAGGTGGGGTTTTTTTTCAGAAGGAAGTGGTTTTTACAGGTGGTGGAAGTTGAACAGAAGCAGGCTTTGTTTAAGCATTAGCAGAAATGAATGCTGTGCTGAAGTTTGATGTGCAGTTTCTCAAAGGTTCCCTCCCTCAACTCCTAGAAAAAAAATGTATTCTCACAATTCAGCAATTCCTTTTGATTCCCCCCCCCCCTACTTTTAAGTCTCTCTGGCTACTTGTACTAACTACAAAACTGCAAAGTCTCATGGGCTGAATTCTTATGACAATTTTATGCTTGGATTGAAACGTCAGAAGTCTGCAGGAAAGAGGGTATAAATGAAAAACAGGACATTTACACGTAACATTTGGTCAACAAGAAAGTAAATAAATGCAAGTCCATTCATCAGGATTTCACCAAAATCTAGACGAGATAGGTGACACAGAAATCAAGTCAAATCAAATACATACACACATATACGCACACATGCATGCACGCATACATACATACATACAATTCTCTTCTTTGAAGATATTTCAGAAGAAGATTATTTTCCATCAATTTGAATAGGCTGGCAAGAAAATGCAGGAGACTTTTTCAATATGGAACCAGCATAAATATTCTGACAGTAGAGCTGTTTCACAAGGAAGAGAATGCTTGGGCAACTGTTGGGTTTGCTATTAATGAAGATGTTTAATTAAGCACCCATTTGTCAGAGAGGCTATATCTCACCTTAAGAACATGCTTAGAATAGCTGGCCCTTGAAGTATCTTGAGTTTTATCAGTATATGGGGTGGATGAGAAAGGGAGTGCCAACCCCACCCATTAAAATTTAAATGCTGTATAGTGCAAAAAACAATCCCATTTGTTTATTATTATTATTATTATTATTATTATTATTATTATTATTATTGTTGTTGTTGTTGTTGTTGTTGTTGTTGTTGTTGTTGTTATTATTATTATTATTATTATTATTATTATTATTATTATTATTATTATTATTATTATTATTATTATGGATCATCGCACAGTCAGCCAGATGTTCAGACTGGATTTGGCATTTTGTCTACCTATGGAGTCCTTCCCAAGAACCTGGGATAGGCAGAAGTGGATGTTTGATGTTATTACAGATATCGTCGCAGGATGGAAGCAGTTCCTAGTAAGGCCGCCTTTTGCAATTGACTAATGGTGAATTTGTCAATGCCAATGGTGTTCAAGTGGTACTCCAGTTGTTTTGGGATTGCACCCAAGGCATCTATTACTATTGGTACTACCTTTGCTTGTTTTTGCCACAGTCTTTCTATTTCTATTTGTAGGTCTTTGTTGTTATTATTATTATTATTATTATTATTATTATTATTATTATTATTTTATTTAAGATTAAAGCTGTTTTCAAATTATTTTTAGAAAGTGGATTTCAAACGTGTGTCTGGAAAACTTTATTTTTGGGGGGGGGGATTAAGCATTATCTTTTCAATGAGAGAACCTCTAATTGTGATTTTTATTATTACTCTGACTTCCACCAATTTTCTCTTGTATAGTGGGAATGGAGAATATAGAAAATCAGGGCTAGTCAGAAAGTAGGTCAAGATTTATAAAACACCAGTATGACATTTCTAACAGCAATAGCAATTGCACTTAGACTTATATACTGCTTCACTGTGCTTTACAGCCCTCTCTAAGCGGTTTACAGAGTCAGCCTATTGCCCCCAACAATCTGGGTCCTCATTTTACCCACCTTGGAAGGGTGGAAGGCTGAGTCAACCCTGAGCCAGTCAGAATCAAACTGCTGGCAGTCAGCAAAATTAGCTTACAATACTACATTCTAACCACTGTGGCACCACAGCTCTTTTATATATACAAGGTGGATTAGTGGCTAGATCTTTATTTGTCCCAAATTATAAGAAAATGCCAAGGGTCAGCAATTTTTTTTAACCTGGTGAGTCCATGTTATGACTTTGCAGAATGTTGCAAAGAAAAAAATGAAAAAGAAAAAAAAACAACTTAAAATCTCATAAGGGTATGGTGTTCTTAACTGAATTTTCATGTGATTTTAGGCACACTCTTTGGACCTTTTTTAAGTGGAAAGAACAAAAAAAGGTTATTTAATTTGGGATATCACCCACTGGTGGGTTATAGAGAAAACGAGGTTAGGAGGGGATTAATGATGAAAACAAATTCAATGGAAACTATCGATTGTGAACCCTCTCCTGCTCTGATACATCAATGGAATGCTATGTGGGTTTGCTTTACTTTCAGCAATCTTTCCATCAGTAGTAGCTAGCCTTGTAGAGTGAAGTGACTGTCAACTGTCCAGTAGGCATTTCCAGAAAAAGAAACTCCTGGGACATGATTTTATCGAAAGTATAATATTTTACTGAAAGCTTACATTGGCACAGAAGAAAGTG